TGGGCGTAGCAAGCGTGATGTTAGAGATACTTTTACAGCTACAATATCGAAAAGGAATCTGTAAGAAAAGGCGTAGCGGTGAATGAGGGCAAAACAAAGTATATGTATGTCGGTTACTGGTATTCGATTTAACGGAAAATTAATTACAAATTTGAAAAAATTATTATTTTTTTGAAATATAACGATGGTAAACATACTGATTACAAATTTAAGCAAGTTCCAAAATAGTTTATCAATTAAGGGTCAAGTTCTTCTGAATAGAGTGCAACGGAAAAAGTTTTAAAGTCTCTATCATTTACTAAGCATGAGATATGACTTGTTCTTCTGAATAGAGTACAACGAAAAAAGCATGAGATATGACTATTTAAAAATTGTTCTGAATAGTAAATTCTCTAGATCCCATGGATTTGTATTTCCTAGTAAAATTTTTTAAAAACTTTTAGTAAAATCCATATATGTATTTTTATTTTAAAAATGATCATAAAAAATGTCACTTAAATTGAAGGTGATAAAGTCAATTTTTTCCAAAATCCGTTTCGCTTATAGAAGAATGACCCGTATATAGCCTTACAAGCCACACAAAATTTAAATTTTATTCAAAAATTTTAACTCTAAAAGATAAAAAAGATAGGATATTGCAGAGTTCGCCAAAATCCGTTTCGATTGCAAAAGAATGTACAGTCAATCTTCTATAATTCGAAGTATCATTTAGCATAGAAAATTTTCGACTTATGGAGACTTCGAGTTAGAGATTATTTTTTTTTTTTATTTTTAAAAGAATCTAAAATCACATTTTGAGATATTTATTTTTTTGAAATCAAATACAGAACAGAAGTTATAGTTAAGTAAAATATTCAGAAATTGGGGTTTGAGATTTTAATTTTTTTTTTATTTCAAGCCTTATAGTGATCATTAGTTGTAACATAGTATCATTTGCTTGCAAATAAAAATCAAAATTTTGAATGACCCTTCTATTTCAGTCTTGGAAGACTGATGAACAATTTCATTGCTTTGAAAAAAGGGACTACAGCTAACATCAAAATGGATTCATACTTAAAACAAAAATTCGACTTGTAGAATGCACTTTCACATATTTCAATTGGCACTTGACAATATTTTTATTCGAGTTATAGAGAAATTCGAGTTATGCAAGTTCGAGTTATAAACCTTTGACTGTATATATGTATAGTTTATGATATATAGTTGACTGTATATATGCAGTTTTTTATGTATACGTTTGAAGATTTTATATGAAAAATCTATTTTGGAAGAAGTTAATACTTGATTAGAATTTATTTTTAATATATCAGTTGATACCTCTAACTTTATTTACTTAATGTCTTTTATTCTATTCTAAAGTTTTACGCCTCGTCATGCTTTGGTATCCTTTATAAATTTGTGGAAGTCTTAAATTTCCTAAAACTTTGCTAGTTAAATAAATCACGTTTAAATGGAAACGTGGACGATTTATTTGTCAGTGACTGCCACAATTGGCGTCTACTTCGGTGTCGCCATTACCAGTCACCGGTCTTTATTTTGTTGTCCTTTATTTGTCGCCTTACACTTTAACTTTTTGCGACTTTCACAAAGAAACTTAAATAACTTGACAACTTAAGCGCACCCGAAATTTGTAAGAGCAATGCATATCACAAGCACCTAGTAAATCTTAAATCTCACATGCCGACTGCGCCTATCAATTGAGGTAATCTGTTGCGGCACGTAGAGGCACGTAGAGGCATGTTACCGCACGTGCCACAAACCACTGCACGCCCATTTTTGAAGTTCCTATACATGCATGAAATACCTCAATTGAAGTCAGTTTGTTTCTTAACAATTGGATAAATCAAGCAGACAGTCAGTCAGCAGACATGCAGTCAATACGAAGTTACATTCATTGGCAATGCTTTAGCCTTCGCAAATTCAGTTGTGCTGGTTACCACCTGAAGGAATTGGTTACTCGCTCGGTTTGTTACTAGTACGTAGCCAGATAAGTTAATGTTTTGCAATTCCAACTAAAACCTACCGACTCAACTCAGTTAACAAGTATGATTGTATCCTTTTGGTATCCTTCCAGCCAAACATAGCAGCGCACGTGATCTGATAACGAAATAAATAACACACAAAAGTTTTCTCTGCATGGAAGCCTCGCTCTTTGTCTTCTTTACCAATGACATGCTCCAACTCTATTATCCGGTGTTGCCTTCGGAGCTAAGTTGCATTTCTACTGTTGCCGTTAAGTACCTACATGTTAGTTTGTATGGAATTGCATTTGTTTAAGCCTCGGGCGACATGTGTGCACGGCTCTGCATAACCTGGTAATCTTCTCGGAAGCATTTATTGCATTAAACTTGCATTTTGGATATGTGCGCTAAAATTATGTGAATCGAATTTGCGACTACGGTACTAGGAGTGTTCGTCTTGCTTCTACTGCCATACAAGCCGTACAAGTCATACAAGCCGTACAAGCCATTCAAGCCGTATGTGTGGAGCATACCTTTCAAGGGGGCATGGTGTGCTGCATCGATTTCGGTTTAAATTGTAAAATCGTTTCTCAAATTGATTTATGCAGCAACGAGCGCAAAATTTACTTAATTCCCATTATTGCCTGATAGCGCACGAATGGGTGTCACGTGCGCAGCAATCAGTCAGCGAAGGAAACCTTGCCATTAATTTTGGTGCAACGGTAGCCATTTATGCTTGAAATTCAGTAACTACTCAAAATAAAAATTAAGTAAACAAATCTATAAAAATCGTTATCAGAAAATTTGACATTAAAGCACTGTTTATATAGTAATTATAGTGACATTCCAGTTTTATCAGCAGTTCTACACTATACACCTCCAAGCGCTAATTAGAAATGATAACCTCAATGCTAAGAACAGGAAATTGATATATAACCAAATAATTTGTCCGTCACTTCTATATGGTTGTGTAGCGTTTAGCAAAGCTTCAAACACTACTATTCACCAGTTAGAAATTGCACAAAGCTAGGCTCTGAGAAGACTTTTTAAAGTTCCCTGGTACATTAGTACGAATGACATCCTCAGGGACCTTAAGATTGATCCCATCAAAAAATATATAAAGGATAGAGCCCTGAAATTATTTGCGAAATCTGACAGACTTACTAACTCCGCGTTATCAAATCTCAGAATGGTTACAGGCTCCTCGGGGAGATATGCAGATCTGAGGTCAATTATTGCTTAGTCTAATGAAGTGATAAACAATAATCCAGTCAAGGCGCAAAGAGGGGTTTTGTAGAAACCTCGCAGTTAATAGAAAGTAAAAGTGCTCAGGTGCACTGACTCAACTCAACTAGCCTCAACATATATATAAAAAATAGAATCCCAAAAATATCATTTGGAAAGAATATAAGTGTATGGTATACTGACATTAATTCAAAAATATTGGTATATAGAATTTTTATTAAATCTATAAGGACCGATTTCACAGTCGTAACTTTAGTTTTGACACTTAGTGGGGTATATGAGAAAGTATGACTTAAGTTGGAGGTATATTTTGATATAACTTGATTTCAGTAAATCTATAAGAATCTATGGTATACGCAGTATACCAACTATAGAAACATCATATACGTAGCAAGTTACCACAGTTTTCTAATGAACATGGAATAGCATAGCTGTTGTGAAACTATGCATATAGTAAATAGATAAACCTTTAACTAAACATATGATGCTTTAAACTATAGTTTTGTTTGACATTTGTTTCTGTCATAGTGCTGTCAAATAAGGACTACGGTATCGACTACCCTGTGTAAATGCGCTAGTAGAATTGGCACTTAAGCACACTTTATATTTTTTAATATAATTTCAATATTTAATTAATTGAAAAAATATATGATATTTCATCCGATTTACGATTCAAATTGTGACTTTTTAAATTTATTACTAACTCTAAGATATTATTTACTAGCAGTTAGCTAGTCGCGCAATGTGTTCAGTTGAATTTAGATTCTATATTTTTAGTTTACATCGAAACACACTTTTGTGCATGAAATTAAAGTATAGTGAAGATCTTGCTTTTTATAGTAAAGCAGAGCATTTCGACTATAGTATATTATTTGTGTTTTAACCGACCTTAACCGAGAAGATATATATAGCTTTTGACTAAAATGTTCTCTGATATAAAAAGTTCTTGATATTCGATTTGTCGATAATCTAGGCTAACGCATTCTCTTTCTAGCCTAAATTAAATCCGGGTAGTCGCTAAGAATGTAAGTATTGAATTTTCATTCCTTTACAGGCAGAGATAACATTTTACCACTATGAACAGAGTCATCTTATTTAAATGGTAGTGCAGGCTGTATACTACAGAGAAGAGATCTTTTCCTGTATTTGTGAAAAGTCTTCTTTTTTTGGAAGACTTAATCACTATTAGCGATATTTTCTTGTAGTTGTGAGAAGCCTTCTCTTTTTGGCTTACATAAAACTCGAGTAGTCGCTAAGAATGTAAGTATAGTACTTTTCTCCCTTTACAGGCAGAGATAACAGTTTAGTACTATGAACAGGGTCATCTTATTTAAATGGTAGTGCAGGCTATATACTACAGAGAAGGGATATTTTCTTGTAGTTGTGAGAATGGATTAACTCTTCAACCTGATAGTTAACTGGATTGTTACACCAAAAGCGATGTGGTTAGGTTTTATCTAACTTTTAATCAGAAACTTTGTTGTGAACCAACTATACGAGTATACGGTTTTAGTCTATACAAAGGCATGACTGCTCTGTTTCTTAGACGATTATTTACGAATTAATTTATATCAATTCCAATGTGACAAAGCACTTAGGAAAATAGTTATCCGTTTTGTGCTTCATCGTCGACAAGTATTATCAAGTCATTAAGATAAGTAAACGAATTCATATTATTGATCTAGGGTTCTTCTATGTCAAAAAAATTAGTTCCATTTTTCTTTTTTTGATTTCCTTTTTATTTTTGTTTTATTTTCTTAAATATGTACATAATATATTTTCACTTTCTGTGAAAGTATTCCATAATAACAACAACAAAACATAATCTTTAAATCCTCCTAAGCATAACAAAAATTTTCACAAATCCAGATGTTTCTCTTTGGTGTGATGCATGGCTGGAAAAAGCGGAAATGGAAACAAAATTGGTTTTGGCGAAACGAAATTGGATGCAGAATTAAAATGATTGCGGTGGTGTTGTTGTTGTTGTTGCTGCTGATGACAGTAAAATTTTGTTTCATAAATTGAGCTCGAGGATTTTGCTAATTTTACGCTTTCATAATTGAAGTTGGAAAGCCGAAAATTATATTTAGCTTTCAATTTCTCTGCTTGCAACATCTGATGGTCTGCCGTAGCAAACCAATCCGAATGCACCATATACGGATCCAATTGCCAGAATTTATGAAACGAAATTGGCGGTTCAATCTGTAGCAGTGCAGGAGGATAATCATTGGGACGTGCCTTAAAATAAACAAATAAAAATACACAAGCAGATAAAATTTTATTTTATTTCATTTAATTTTCAATAAAATATTCCATTGAGTTTATTTTTTGAAAGAAAGCGCAATTCCAAAAAAAAAAAATAAATAAAATATTAAAGGAAAAGAAGCTCACTTGATGGAACCTTGGCGTGTGTATGGCACTCAATTGAAGTGAGTGCAAACATGAGCCCAAAATCATATCATCCGGTGCAGTTGCTGACGGACAAGTGCAATGCTGTAATATGAGTCGGACAACTGGAAGGCTCAATGCGATGCCACCACCGCCGGTGATGTAATTGAAGCCATCTTCTGCATACAAACGGTAGCCGTACCGCTCGCCAAGGTAAATATTATCGTGCGGATTGAAACAGCCCAGAATTTCACAAATACCAGCCACGCTGCAGAAGTAAAACAAAAAAAAAATATATATACTTCACTCCTGGACATATATCAGTGTGGAATAATTTTTAAACTATTTGTATAAAGGGAAATAACAAAATTTTAAATATAGCAAAAAACAGAAAAATTATCAAACACGTATAATATATTTTTATTTAAGAAAATTTATTAATTGCAAGAAAGCAATATGACCGCGTCCTTTGATGAAACAATTGAATCCTTGGTATCTTTAAGCAATTTACTTTGTTTACATTGAATTTAATTAATTTATTTTTTACGTTCTTATTTTTATTTAATTAAATTTTTTTATAATATTGAAGTTGGTTTCCTGCATAAAAATGCATTGCTGACATGTACGCAACCAAGTCCTCGCAGTCAGACATGTATATATACCACGGAGTTTTCGCCCATATGAAGGCCTCGCTGGTATTTAAATATCTCGTGACGTTGCACAAATTCAGAGCCTACCACGTGAATTTAAATATACAAAAATACTGTGAGGAAAAGAAGGTATACATTAAGCTATACATTCATGCAGAGGGCACATATAATCCTCACCATATGCAAGAGAAATCATAAAAGCAATAGCGCAAATAAAATAATCCTTAATACGATTTAATACGACTGAATAAAACGTGTAAATTGATATTTTATATTTTAAATCAGGAAAAAACCAATCAAAAGAATTCAATTATTTAATTAAAAAACGAGCAAATTAATTCTAAAAATAATAACATATTAATAATAGCAAATAACTATCTGCCCGCCTGAACAAATCATGAGTTATGCTACACTCTCTCTCAACTATTAACTATAAGTGTTATACCATATATTATATTTCGTTAAAGAACAGCCCAATGATTAACTGCCTGAATATTATACTTTGTCTTCCATCGTTTCTAGATTCTTGGTGTAAATTTTTTCTTTAAATTAGTCCCAAAAAGTTCAAAGTTTTAAATGCAATAATTCATTAAGCCTATGCATATCCTCTAGAAAGTGAGCAACTTTCTATTCTTTCTAGATTCTTAGTGTAAGTTTTATTTTTAAATAAGTCCCAAAACGGAAAGTCCAAAGACCTTGAATTATAAGTTTTTTATGATTTGTGAGTATGGTGGAATATTTCAATTTTGCTAAACTAATCACTCCACGAATTTGGATTCTAAAAATTCAATAACTTCAAATGCATTATTTTATTCAGTCCACGTATAATTGCTTAAAATATTCTGTTCAGATTTTCAATCTTTTCTAGATTATTGGTATAAATTTTATTCTAAAATTAGTCCCAAAATGTTCCAAAAGTGTCAAAGTGCATTATATTATTAAGTACACGCATAACTTTTTGAATACTCTGACCAGTTTATCAATCGTTTTAAAATCATTGGTGCAAAGTAAACCCCTAAATTAGTTTAAAAAATGTGAGTCCAAATTTCCAACTTTTTGGTGGAAAATAACTATTTTCATTTTGTAAAGAGGTTTTATCAAAAAATAGTGAACTATAACAACAAAAATTCGTTTTTATATTATTTTAATGAATTAAATTTTTGGCTGATCATACAGCTGTTTTGAGTGTTACCAAACACCCATCATCGGTGGTCTTGAAAGTAATTCTTGTATTTAATTACTCATAAATAATTTTTTGAGATTGCAAGTACCAGGAATCGAACTTGTGCCCTGTCAAATTTGAAGCTAAGAGTCAGCATATCTTAACCAACTGAACCAAAGCCGTACTTGACTTTTATGTTCGCACATTTTTCTGGAGTTTTGTTAATTTGCTGTGTTTATATTAGAACGAAATCATATACCACCAGTAGAATAATTGAAATAATTTATTATATTTTTTTTTTAATTGTTAAATTTTAAAACTATTCTGTTTGTTTCATTTTGTTGAACTGAACTCCCATCGAATTTCAATTTTAAAAATTTTAAAGGTACCAAATAGGGTCCTTTATTTAGATATATACTTCTCTAAAAGATATTTAACACATTTAAATTTAATCATTGAAGTACTTACCTTAACAAAGTGTCGTCATCGCAAAGAAATATCCATTGTATCGCACTCTTCATGGCTTCAGTCTTCTCCATTGTTTCAGAATTGTACACCTCATTAACTTGTAGATTTATACGTTCTATATCCTTCAATGCGAATCGCAATATGGCCAAAGTTTTGGAACAGTGGCCCGTTTCAACATTGGGCAAACCGACACTGATGGTTGGTACATTCGCATCTGCATAAAACATGAGTATTAGCACAAACCACACACACACAGACCTACGTGCCTAAGTACACAGAGAACAAAACGTAGAGGCATGAGAATCTGCACATGCAGTTCACAGCAAACATGAACACATATTCGTCTTTATTCGTCCTGACATTGCAGTTAAACATCTTGTTGTTGTTGTTATTGTTGTTGTAACAACAACAAGAGCATCATCAGTGAATACAAATCAAATCAATAAGGTATCAATATGGAATATTGTCAACACACATACTCAAAGTGTCCCTGTGTGTAGATGTGTGTTGCGTGTCGCTTAGAAGTGAGTGTACTGTTTATTTTTGCCAAGGTGGGTGAATGTGTGTATGTTATATATGTGTGAGTAGTGTAGACATATAAACTCATTTGGGTATTAAGAACACTTTTGAAAGTTTGGGCCACAATTGTCTCACCTCTGCCGGTGGTTTGTCGTGTTGATTTTGCTTAATTGATCGCCTTTATTGTGGCGAATACTTTAGAAAATAATTTCGAAAGTTCCACATAAGAAAGACTCCTTCGATATATTTTTGTGTTCAAAATTTGTTTGTTTATCTTAAAGTTTCTTATGTGGAAAAGTTTTAGCTTCTGTGTACTTTAATTGAGGTAAAGTTTTTCACCACTCACCGGCAACGTCACTGAAGTAACGCTTATGTACCGTGAAAGGACCCCAAGTTGCTTCAATTATTGGTATGCGTTCCGTATGAAAACGTTTGCAAGTCTTGATGGCAAAATATATTTCAGCACGTCTAACAGGTAGCTGTAAGATTATATATATGAAAACAAAATGAATTAAATCGAAAATAATTAGTTCTAATTTTGCCGAAATTCCAACAAATACGTTTATTTATTTCTCTCGCGTAGCTTTAGGTTTTAACCACACTCACCAATATACTTACATTGTAGGGGCCAACCTTAATTGATTAGGACAGCTGAAGCTGTGAACTCTGATGATGAGTTTGATAGAACCAGACTTACTTCACAAAGTGAAACTCTCCTAGTACCATTTATACTCCAAACAATATTGGTTCTTGCTAATTGTATTTAGTCTTACGATAGGCATTCCATACCTCGGGAATGTTCTAACCCTTTTCCCGTTTGGGTTGTATATTCAAATAGACTGAAAACATAGTTTCGAATTTAGTTTTTAGATTTAAAAAAAAAAGCGGGTTGGGAACTTGTCACCACGTCATTGCATATTAGTTCTGAATTTAGTTGAGTCCACAAATACATGAGGTTTTATAATATTTTATATTTCTTTTGGATTTTTCGATGCTAACAAGCTGTATCCTATCTTCCCAAACTATAGATCCCTATATTAGTATACGTAAGGTAGCATAAGACGTTATGTATCTGCATAAGGATTTTGCGTTATATTGCTTTTAGTGTCTCGTAGAATTTTATATAAATACTACTACGTCCTATACTGCTTACCATGTACACTATGCACTACATAACTTCTCTAACTTTGTTTGCATATGAGAACCATTTTTTAGATAGCAGATAATTTTTTCTTTTGCTGTGGTTCATTGAATTACTGGAGTTGAACTACATCAAGTATATCAAACGAGTGATAAAAATTCATTTTTTTCGGTACATTTAAAATGCTAGTAAAACAAGATTAACATTTTTATCTCGATAGTCGAAAGAATAACATAAAAAGGAAAAGTTTGTAAGGATTTTGTTGTAGCAGCGTATGCCCTCAAGTGACGACAAAATTGTATAAATAAGAAGAGGTATGAGAAGCGAAGGAATGCATAGCTTGAACACTAAAAATACTCACACATGTTGTCACATCCATTGGCTTGGCGTACATAGCACAAACTTGGTTAGAATCATCTTCACCAACCTTCTCGTTGTTAGCATTTTTGCCATTGTCAATGCCATTACTAATATTACTATCTCTTCGGTCGGTATTACTTTCACTTTCTGGCAATGTTAAAGTTTCAACTGCTAATGTGGTCGTGGCCAATGTTCCAGCTGTGTTTGCCTTTGGGCATATGTATGAAGCTTTTTTTAAAATCATTTTCAGCTTATTTTTCAAAGCTGCTCCCTTTTGTTTTTTCACGTACGGAGACTTAAATTCATAAGCTGACTGCAGCTCATTACTGTCAGTGTTCACATTGGTGGTTGCCCTGTTGATAACATTGGCGGCAAGGGTGCTGGTAACTTTATTGTCCATTATCGGCGCACCAGCACTGTTCATTTCTTCAAGACCTCTATAGCTGCTTCCTTCTTGTACCTGTACGTTCTCCAGAATATACAATGCCAGCTCATGTGCAGCATCAATTGTAAATTCTGCACGCCGTGGCTGGAACAACGTTGTGCCACCAATATTATTCCCATCTTTATGGGATGCCAAAGCCGCAACTGTGCTGTTGTTTTGTTGTTAAATTATTTTTCAAAAATGTATGAAATAAAATTAGAAGGAAATAAAATTAAATTTTTTCAAAAATTCTCAAATATCAGGACATTTCAGGTGTGCATGTGTGCGGAGTTGCACTCATATGGTATATAATATTCTTAAGATTTTCTTAGACATTGTTTAACAATAACATTGGCTTTTGCATCCTTAATGAAGCAGCATTTCACATGAGACAATTTCACAACATGGCACAGCTCAGCACAGCACAGCACAGCAGAGCTTGACGCAAAGCGAGGGGGCCATCAAATTGGTGAGACCACCACTTACCTTTTGAAAAGCGTTGCGGTGAAAATGACACCAGAGCGCAGCATTGGATAGGGAAACCAACGTGGATTTTCAAAGAATGCGAAGTGATGAATTATGGTTGCCTCTTGATCATATAAGGCATGTCCAAGCAAAAGTGGCTGAAATTAAAATTATTTTATATAAATTAAAACATTTTGTGTTACATTTTAAAAATATTAAAGTAAAATATTTCACGAAAGTTGGAACTTAACTGCAGTTGCAGTTGCTGACTAGAAATAACTATATTATAAAAACATAACTATTATATTAAAAAATAAATTATGAATTGTAAACTGTTATAGGTATATTGAAAAAATATATATAGCCGATATCGCTAGAATTAGGAATTTGAATAACTGTATATGGGCGATTCTTTCACAAATCAGACGGATTTTGACAAAAAATGACCTCATCACCTCCGTTTAGTTTAGGCTGTTTAGTTCATTTCATAAACTTAGAAGACCCGTATCTCGGGAAAAAATTTAAAAATGTTTTTCCTAGGAGATATGGACCCACTTAGTTTTAAGAATTAGCATTGTAAGTGCACTATGTCGTCGGTATACTCTAAAACTTTAAGGTGTTGGTTGAATTGAAATGAGATTTTGCCATTAGCTCTAATGGAAACTTTGAGCGCTGTGTCTATTATTACTGTAAACAAGATTGGTGATAAGAGGCACTCCTGCTTTATTCTCGTCAACGTAGAAAAGGGTTCGCTTATTTTTCGGCATGTAAAACTCGTGCCTTCGAATCTTTGTATAACATTTTTATAAAGTTTATAATTTTTATGGGAACTCCTTTATCTTCAAGTGCATCCAAATTCGCACTTATTAGGAGAGCGTCGGAAGCCTTTTCCAAATCTATGAAAATAAAAAACAACGGAGTGTTGTATTCGTTACATTGATCGATAATGAGCCATAGGCTGTTAATGTTGTCACTGCATGAACGATTTGCACGAAAGCCTGCTTTTGTTCCTTTTTTAGTAAACGATCCAGTGGTTGTCGTATACGGTTAAGTATAATCTTGTTGAAGATTTTATTGATTGCAGGTGTAAGAGCGATTCCTGTTCAGTTATAGCAAAGTTTTAGAACCCTCTGTTTAGGGATTTTTACTATTAGGGTTTCGCTCTAACTTTACGGTATAGTTTCAGATTGTCATATATCCTTAAACAGTGGTCTCAAGATTTCAGCGACGATGCGTGCATTTCCTTTATAAAATTCTGCTAGAAAGTTGTCCATTTCGGCGGTCTTCCTATTTTTTAGTTGGTGTATAGCTTTTTCAATTTCGTCCAAGCTAGGCGTTTCGGTGGAAATAGATCTTAAAGGGTGCGTAACGATTGGTCGGCGAGTATATTTTTTTCATATCTCCGATTCGAGCTACGGATTCGGCTTCTGTAACAAAGTTATTGAAGAAAGTATGTTTATCATTTCTGGCTTGCTTCTTAACTTCTATTACTAAAACTCTGTGTTTTGCGTTCAGATGACTTATTACTGCGGGGTCGGTTGCATTTTCTAGTATCTGCTTTACCGTGCCTCTTTGAATTATTTTCTGTCAGACCTCTTGGGACAACTATTCCTTTTCTGTTAATTTTTTTTTGCCGATAGTGGCGTGTCTTTATGACGAAAGAAACTATTTAAAAGTTAGACGGATTCGAATAGCAAAGAAAGAAAGGACAAAGACAAAAATTTTATTTGATTTATTGAAATTTGGCTGACCATACAACGCTGTTTCGAGTATTGCCAAGAACTCTTCATCAGTGGTCTTTGATACTGTGCGTGGCTTAAGACAAGGTGATCCCTTATTATATGATATTTTCGTCAAGGAAATAATAATTTCACAAATGTGTCCAGCTTCTTGCTTACGCCGACAACATTGACATCATTGGGTGTAGCAAGCATGATGTAACAGTTGATTTCGAATCTGTCAAGGATTTAATTTATCTTGGCACCGTCATGACAAATAAGAAAGATGTTAGCCTGGACATTAGACGAACAATCACTATTGCTAATGGGTGTTACTATGGACTCAGGCATTTGGGATGTAAAGCTCTCTCTCTGCAAACGAAACTTACGTTCTATAGGTCGATCTTTCTTCCTGTGCTTCTGTATGGTGCAGAAGCATGTACGTTATCACGGAATCATGAAGCAGTTGTGGAAGTGTTCGAAGTTTTTCGTAAGATCTTTGGTCTTCTATGAGTTGGCAACGATTACCGTACACGAATGAACCGCGGGTTGTACGAGCTTTATCGGGATATTTAAATAACTCAGAATGGATGAAGATGCTACAGCGAAAAAGGTATTTGAAGCAGTAGTTGGAGGAATAAGATGTGAAAGTAGTTTCTCCGATGAAGTGATCAAGTTGAGGAAGCATTAATCGGACTTGATGTAGGAGACTGAAGAGGGCGCGCATGCAGCAGAGGCACTTGGAGAGATATGCTGCGTCAAGGCAAAACTTCGTAACGGATTGTTATGGTCAGACAAATAAGTAAGTAAGTAAAGTTGGAGGAAGGTTTTCTAATTAAAATTAAATTTTTACAATAATAAACTTTATGAAAATAATATTAACATGAACAGTTTTAAAATTACTAAAAAAATCAAACAAAAATAAAATTGCACTTAAAATTATATAAAATAAGAAATATTTTACTTGGAACAGGTTCCATAAAACAGTTTCAATATTAAAATAAATACTTCCGTTTTTGCATTACATTGTGGGTTATTTAATTTTTTGTATTATTCCGTTTCATCATTGAATCAATTTCATTCAATGTATATAACAGTCATACCTCACCAACCTACCTACCTCAGTGTGGTTTTCCTGTCTTAGTTTCTCTAAAAGTTGTTGCAGCGCGATGTGTGTACTGTCCTCGCACAGGATAATCCACTTTGTATTGTCACTGACAATGTAACGAGACAGATACGGCAATGCGGTCAGTAAGCTCCAATCTCCAGGGTGATTGAATATTTTATGTAGTATTTGCACATTGATTAGATAATCCAAGGATATTGCATGCGATTGGCTGATGATGTTATTGCGAAGTTTGGTACTTAATTGGTGATGGTAACTATTGTCTTGACTAGTGATGAGTATTAGCACTTCTATTGGAGCTGCAAACAAAGTTTTAAGAAAATTCAAATTTAGTCGTAAAGAAGAAGGTAAAGTTTTCTTTTATAAATTTTTTATAACATTTAATTTAAGTTGCTGGTCTTATTTTGGTGTTTTGCTGGTTCAGTATTTCAAAAAGTCATTAATAATTCGGTTCCCTTGTTTTATATGCAATTGTCTTTGTACTTTGGCATATTCAGTATTTATAATTCTGCACGTGACCTGTTAACAAATATTTCGAGACCATTTCGCTACATTATTTCATGCTCCATTAATGATATTTTTTAACTGCATTCACTTAAAAGCAATAAAAACAAATATTAAATATCTCAACATCATCATTAGTGATACAGATGTTCTTATATTTTTATATAATTTAAAACATGCCTAAAAGAAGCGAGTATGTACAATAAAAATTTATATCATATTTTAACTATTTCATCCGGTCGAACTTGATAGCACAAAAAGTATATTAAAATATTACAATACTTAAATAAAAAATAAAATTCTACATATTAAAATAAGATTTAAATTACTTCATACCGAAAAAGTAGAATCTTGATTAAATAAAATGATATGACATGATATGGCATGATAACCGAAGAAATTGTGACAGCAGGAATCTTTTGTTAGTTTTATTTCATCCAATTTATTACACTTACAAATATGAAGTGTCCAACTGTACAGAATCTTTTTTTTATTATTTTAGGTTGCCTTATATTATATTTAAATAGCTGGTTTCTCTAGATTTCACTCCACTAATGTTCTTGCACAATATATTGTTTTAGTAACCATCCTGGCCGTCTAGTTGCATTCGTAATCTGCAATATTTTCCTAAACGCATGATCTTCTGGTCTTGTCATGACATAATCGTATCGGTGGAGACCAGATTTTCACAGCATTGGATGGATTGGAGAATAAACTAAACAAACTGGTATGATTCCAGCATTGCGGTAAATAGTCTTGGGCTATCACTTCACAGTGTTTGTTAAAAAGTCGTTGCTTTGACTGACTTAAACTTTGTGTGGATGACCGTTTCTTCTGCTGTCATGGAAATTATAATTTAGAATTTTATCAGTAATGTCTTCTGACAATAATTGTCTAAATTTTTTTGGGTTCATTTCTTCTATTAACATTTTGTAAGTACTTCTTTTTTACTCTCCACTCTCCCTTGTTCTGTGTTTTGGCTACACCTATTGAGTAGAATAGAATCAATTTACATATATGCTTCAACGTTGAGGAATGCAAACAAATTGTCTGAAAAATGTAGTTAATTGACGAAATAACGGCAAAAAACAGATGTTTGAGCTTCGTACTCTGGACGGCCTCTTGACGAAATACGAAAGCGGTAATCTCAAGAGGGCTAACCGACGGACGTTGTGGGGATTTTAGTGGTATGAACTGGGCTTTCGATTGCTTTGCACCTCGTTACAAAAAATAAATAAAATAAATTACTTATATGCTTTCACTTTTGAAAGATAACTATTGGAAATTACTCTCTCAATTGTTTTTCAATATAAGAAGCCAAGTTAAACAGTGCTATTACAATGGTTTCTGCTAATGTTTTACTCAGGACTTGCTTTTCGTCGTTTATCAATATGAGCTCAAGTAATTTTAGAAATTTTTAAATTTAGAAAAGTTTTTTTTATTTTTTAATAGATAATAGAAAAACTATATTTCAACATTATTTTCACAAAATTATAAACTGATTAAGTATTTGAAAGTTTATTTATAATTACTGGGAAGCAGAAAGACACTAGCTTTCTGTGTTTTACTATTTGTTTTAAATAAATGCCAATGAATCTGTACACAAATCTATAAGAACTAGTTTAGCTATACATTTTGAGACTTTAAACTAGTTACTTCACAAATAAGTCTCTTATCAATAACAAAAGAATTGCCACCAAACTATACTAACTATTTTATAGAATCATTATATGACTATTATGAAATGAAACTCTTGTATTATCGCTTTATACTTTTGTTGCTTCTCACTATTCCTATATTCTATTTAGATTTTTGATTTAGCTTTTCTAGAAGCAAATATGTTATGGAATATGAGTTCAAACTCTAGATCGGTAAGAGGCCATATGATTGTATTGTTATAGTTTAATCAAATTATCCGATATTATTGATCGCCAAAGACTATTCAAAAGACTGCTACTGAATAGTAATTATTGTTATGGATTTCGAAAAAATTGTTATAAAAATGCTTAGGTTACACACAGATTTATTGTGTATATTTAATTTATATTCCAACTGAAGTAATAATGTATGTATATATTATTTGAGCCAACAGATGTAATTAAATTGAAAACTGTCTTACGTTTATTCTCATGTAAGCATATACGAATACAACTAATTAAACTATGATGAATTGACAGATATACAGTAGGATTCGGCCGTGTTCTATAACCACTTCAAATGCAAAAGTTATATAAAACGGTAAGTACACTTTATATTTTAGTAACAGAAACTGTTATATAGTTTATGCAGAGACACCTGATGTTTGGGTACCACATAAATCAATGCATAATAATTTGATTGACCAAATTACCATCAGTAAAACGCAATGAAAAACATATCAAATGCGGGAATATTCAACGCAAGCGATCATAATCAAAAGCTGGTAGCCTTCTACGAAGGACTTCAAAGCTTGAATTGATGACAACCAAGGTTATATTGAATATATGATGGGATTAGAATGGAATCGCCTATTACGAGCTGTTTTAATTTAGTGCAAAAGTTAATTCGGTTTTGTCTGTCGCTCATAGTTCGATCCCTGGAAAGAATCAATCAAGGAAAAACTATCAGAATTAGTCAATACAAAAAGAATTGCATTGGATTCTGACAATAACAGACTACACACAGCTTTAGTGACTCAAAAGAAATTAATGCAACTGTTCTTGCACCATCTGATTACCATTTGTTTTGGTCTCTGTCAAACTCTTTTAACGGGTAAAATGGTTGGATCAAAAAGAGACGTTGAAAATCATCAGACCGAGTATTTCGCTGATAAACCATAGAAGTTATATAGCGATGCAATTATAAATCTAGACGAAAAATGGCAAAATATTATAAATAATAATAGCCAACATAAACTTTATTAAAATTATTTTCCAAAAAAAAATATTTGATCAAAAATTTACTAAAAAAAACAGTGGAGATTTTCTATAACATCTAATATATATATACACATGTTGATAGTATTTTAAACTTACCTGAAGCTAATGTAAGCGTCAGCATAATCACAACTATTAATGTGTGTAAATAGTTCATCATGTCTATGAAACTGTTCTGCAAAAAAAAAATAAAGAATCTGTAAAGTAAAAATCTTGTTTTTTTTATTTAGATGGCAACATGGAATGATAATTATAAACTGATAAACAAACTAAAAATTTTCATCCTGCACTTGTAGTATATAACATATATTTAAAAGTGCATTCCTGCATATTCAAATGAAATGCTAATGAGTTAAATTCTTGTGTGAAATCTTTAAAATTAGAGTCTTTCAAAAGCTACGCTATTAATCACATGTGTTATATATGCTAAGCCCTACACATCAATTTATCTCTTTTACATACTATGTCACATATATGTTTCGAAAGTTGGTAGTCGTTACTTAAAACTGCATATTGCACTGGCTTCACACCTTACTTTGTACTTAAATCCAATTAGGAAGTCAACTTGACTAATTTGCATTAAAAAAGGCACCTGAAATCTTATTAAAAAGCATCATTGAATCAGATTTAGAACTCTCCTCTACACATATGCGATTATGTTTAACAAAATGTACAAAATATGACAAATTTTCAAGTAGACATACGTTTGTCCGTACCACCGTGCGTATGAGTAACATTTTTCTTTCAAGTGTGTAATTTTATTTACAGTCTCATGATTTATTATCATCCATATTCCATCCATATGTAAGCTCGTGCTTGCCACATGATGTATATTTATTTATTTTATGTTTGCAATTTCCACTCTTTGTGGTTTGAATTTTGAAGTGTTATTTTACTTCAACACTTATGTGTGCATTTCGTAGATATCTTGCTACTTCCATCCTGTTGCTGTTCATCAATTTTGCATTCGTTAACTACGTACATGAAGCCCACACCTGACAGATTCTAAGGCCAAACTGAGTTCAACTTGCAGTTTCAAATTGAAATTGCATTGTTGTTGTTCAAAATATATGAGTTTGGGAGTCTTGCTGACTATTTGACAAAGGTTTGTTGCTTTCACACAATCTTTCAATGTATACACATTAAGGTTTTATCTGGCCCCAAAGGAAGTAACTCGACAATGTGTCGATAATTAAGTTGCAAACCAAATTCAATATCTTCAATACCAAATCTATTATCATTCAACATTTTTATCTTTTGAAACTGAGTGTAATGGTAGGATATAGACAAAATAGATAGGTGCAATCATGTGAACTTCAGATAATATGTTGAATTTGTCTTAGAGATCAAGAATACTTAATATTTATTAAACTAAGTTAAGACTATTAAATTTTCATTTTAAAAATGTTGATATTTATTTTAAAAATAAAAAAATTTATTTTTAAATAATTTATTTTAATTATAATTTTTTAATTAATTTTTTTTTTAATGAATTTTTAATTATTAATATCTTCACTTAAAATAAAATAATCTCAATATACTTTTTAATAAAACAAAATATATTTAAATCTTAAATATACTAAAAATCCGATTATATTATTAAAAGATAAATACATAATATAGAAATATATATTACCATATTTTTAAAAAAATTATAGTCATATCGATATTTAGGCAGCTATCCTAACAAAAGAAATTAATTATAAAAAAAATAACAAGTAAACAAGCTACAGTAGGCTTTTTTGCAAGATCTGTTTTCTTTAAATAGATAATTATGTTATAAATCAATTTCTTATTATTTAGTTAAGAAATAAGATTAAGCATAGTATATATTTTATAGTAAATTTTATAAATCTAAAATATAAAATTGTTAACGAGTTTTATTTACTTGGCGACGGAAAAATTCATTCTCATCATTTTTACCATTAAAAGAGAAAACTGCCTTTTATTGAATCTTGTCAGTTGTCCCTTTTAAATCTATGTATTCCTGTGGTACCAAAATCGGCCATTATTCGAGCTCAAGTGGGCTTTTTGGAAACAAGACTGCTACTCCAACCTACCTACCTAACTAACTTCCTAATGAGTATCGGTATTAAATATATTGGCATGCATTTAGATTGCAGATTTTTAAGAAAAAAATATCTTCAAGCAATAAAAAAATTTTATCTGAAAACAAAAAAAAGGTTGCTGCTGGATCTAAGATCTAAATCAAGTATTCGTAATGAAATTTTCTTATACTTTTCTATTACAGTACCAAACTAGACATATGAAATACTGTAGATATATAAAATATTCAGAGAATTAGAAAGTACTAATAACAGAGGCTTTAAGGTTGTTTCATACTACGCGAGTTAATGTTTATTACCTGTTCAACCTTCTGAAGTTATTACTGTTCTATATCTGTTTGATGGTTTTAACTTCTTTTACAATCTTCTGGTGTAAGAGGGTTAATTGAATCCTTAAATTTTTACATCAAAACTTTTGTGTTCAAAAAATATATGAGGAATTTCGAAGAAGCTTTCGTATTATCATCAAATTATTTTAGTCGTTTCTCGTTATTCCCATTTTCACTCAAATTTTTTAATGCAACTGCTTTGAGAGCAAAACTGAAATATGAATGTGTACCCTAAGTAATCCTACGTTAGTGGTCTGAAGTGCGTATTAACCAACTTGATAAGCATCATCTTTGCTTCTAGATACGCACATATACTTCATAGAAAGTGTTTAAAATAAAAATAACAATCGAAATATAATATCCGAAAGTTGAATTATATTGTCCGTTAAGTTTATTACCAATTTCAAACGACTACTGCTTTAAAACAAGATTGATAAGTTATCATCGGTATGGATTTAGGAAAACTCAGAAGAAAATGGTCACATCAAATACATCAAATTTGAAATATCTTTTTTAATGTAAATCAAGAAATCGAGAAGGGAAAAAAAATGGAATTTCGATTTAAATTTGGTCATGGTGACGAGGCTATCGGAACCCCGTTACATTTGTAGCGTTTCTCAGTAGTAAGGTCAAAATTTTCGCTTATTAAGATTTATGAGTAAAAAATAGAAAAAACAAACCAAAATAGTAGTAAACTTAGGAAAATGATAATTGTGATGTAACTCTCTATATAACATGCCTTTTGGTTGTGACCAAAAAGATCGTAGAATTGTCATGACCATTTAACATGTGACTGCTGTTGATATGTTGATAGTTGATAGACATGCTGTGTATACATAATATATTTTTCAATAAAGTCGAAAAAATGCTGTATTGCTTTGATAGTTATCAAATAACATGATATATAATTAAAATTATTACAATTTATTTAACCTACTGGTAGACAAAAATAAATTTAAAGTTTTCAATTTACTTCTCAGGGAATTTGACATTTAAATTTATTGTTATTAAAGCATACAGCAAACAAATATATCATAATAAAAGAATATCCAGGCAGGGTACGATAACCACTTGTTTTCCATGCCCTCTTTAAACGAAAAATTTATATTAAAAATAAGTACAGTTCATATATATCGCCTTTACTCTTATATAGTTTACGAACTATTAAAATGCAATAAAGTTGCTTTAATGTTGCTTTGAAGAGCTGCATTACAGCACTTTAATAGTTTAAATTCATTCAATTTTATGTCCGAATATGTCGCTGTTGTTTTGTTTAAATATTAACTGTTAGCAGAAAACAAATGTTTAAAATATTCAGTTTACACGGATGTGGTGGCTTAGTAGATGTAATGTTTCTGACACCTATGTCGTTGGTAGCGTCAACATATAGCTCTAAAATGTTGCTAACATCGGAGTCAGCAATATGGCGCTCAAGTTCACAAGTACGCAAATATTACAGGCTGAAGAATCATGTACACAATCAATGTCTATTCAATTATATGGGCAGTTAGAAACGGTCGACAGATTTGTAGCAAACACTTTATAAATATATGAAAAGGCGGGACTGAAAGCTTAAAGTTTTTGAAGTTTTGCAATAACATAAATAATAATAATAGTTGAAAGTAGAAGAGATTATAGAAAAATTGTAGAATAACTTGAAGAATAAATAATTAAATAAATTGTAGAAAGTGTACTTGTGCAAAGATCTTTTAATTAAAAAATACATTATTACAATCATGAACCAAATAACAGTAACAGTGGTGCTAACAATATTCTAAAGTTACTAATATTCTAAAGTTAAAATTGCATTTAAATTTATACGAAAAATATTTTATGTGGAATATGTCCAATGAAACGGTTTCAAGATTAAAATAACTATTTCCGTTGTTGGATTGCATTGTAGATTATTTAATATTTACTGTCCTGTCCTCTATGTAGTTTATCTGTTAAAGAACTCACTTTGTGTAATTCCCTCTCTCTGAACAGTCCAACTTTAGTTATAAGTTTTAATTAAATTTTTAAACATTATAAACCAAATTTATTAACTAAGGATATAAGCTTCTTGTTTACTGATGTATTGAAGTTAACGTCTTATGTACTGCCGTAAATAGAATTGGTGTGTTTATATGCAGAAGTCTTTTACGTCCTACTTGCTCTGTTTTCTTTGCTAAGCATAAAGTCATATATTAGGTTATCGTCTACAGTATTCACAATCAAAAATAATGTTTTAATATTACTGAATTTCAATCGTGGATTTCAAATTCGATGACAAAATAAATTAGTTTGTTAAAGATAAGAACTGTGATTTATATATTAGCTAAATAACTGTGACTTGTAGTCCACTACTAACATCATCAAGACGTTAGGTTAGGTAAAATTAGGTGAAGTGGAACAAATTCTTTTAAAAATGCCCTTTAGATACCACATTCCTCGTAACAGCGAGCAGAATAATGGTTATATTAGAACCAATTGTCTTTTTTCGAGCGCCGGTATATATGTACAAGAGAACATATCACTGGACAAACCGAGCATTGGTGACATGCCTCCTAAAGTCCAGTGCCCTGTTAAAATACAGCAAAACATTATAAAACATAGCAGAAAATCATGCAACTCTTCTAAAGTGTGGGTATATGTTACCTTGAAATATAATGTATCTTTTTCAAATCCTCTACGATAGTGGTGAGTGCAAATTTCTATACATTTTCGTACGAAATGATGAATTTTTATCTGCTACAGTCGTGTCAGATCAAAGCTTTTTATTATTAACTGGAAGAAATTTGTTTAGGATGAAACCTGCATTCTAATGTAGAATGACTCATGTTTAGGAGTTGAAGAAACGTAAGACTAGTCGTATTCATAAAAATATTGTGCCCCGGATATTAATATTAAAAATACTGTTTATTTACATGTACATTGTGACCGAAAAGCTTCCGGAAATTTTAAATAAAACGCAAAATTCTTAATCTTCATCAATATTTATTTTATCTCCTTCAAAATATGCTCCATTAGAAGCGATACACAAATGCCAACGTTTCTTCCAATCATCAAAAAATTTTTTATAGGCGCTTTCCGGTATGGCTTTGAGTTCCCTCTGCGAATTCTGTTTTACGTCTTCTATGGATTCAAAACGCGTTCCTCTGAGTGGTAATTTGAGGTTGGGAAACAGGAAAAAGTCACACGGTGCAAGATCAGGTGAATACGGTGGCTGTTCGATGGTATTTATTGAATGTTTGGCCTTAAAATCGTTGATAATGTTGAACAAATTGAGGTGAATCGGAACAAGCCGGGCGTTGACACGTCGCATACACAAATTGTCCACCAAAATCAAACGAGCCATCTCACGACCGATGCCTAGCTCTCGTGCTATCTCTCTAACACTCACATGAGGATTTTTGAACACGATTTCCTTTGCCTTTTCAATGTTTTCGTCGGTGGTAGAGGTCGAAGGTCGTCCAGAACGCGGCATGTCTTCGACGGTCGTACGACAGTCCTGAAAGGCTTTGTACCACTCATAAACTTGAGTTTTCGATAAAACTGATTCCCCATAAGCCTTTTGTAGCATTCGCAACGATTCTGCACACGAAATTTCGTTCGAAAAACAAAATTTGATGCAAACTCTTTGTTCAATATTTTTTTCCATTGTTTTTTTCGCAACGCACTACTGAGGTGAACTGGTTTCAACAGCTGCCGTAAACGAACTGTCTGACAGATCGCGCTCATTTTTGGCATAGTAATTAAGGACAGTGCTGCCAAACTACATAAACTTAAAATATCGAAAAATATACAGCGCGCGAATTTTAAATGAGAACCTCCGAAAACCTTTCGGTCACAATGTAAGTTTTAAAATAAATATATAGGAAATTGTGTGGAATTCTAACAAATGTATGAAGAAAGCATGTAAGAAAAGAATTCTAAAGAGAGTGCAACACATTCTATAGTGTTATAAATTATAATATATATATAAATCATATATATTATAATATATATATTTTTTATATATATTTGTATATTGATATTAGTCAATTGATATTAGGTACTAACTACCTACAAATCGCAACAGAGTTTACAAGTTTATTTGAAAAAAAGCTAAAAACTTGGTGTTGTAGAATTGAGGTTTTTTATACATAATATTTTAGTGGATTTATTTAGAGAAAATTAAATGCGAATTCTGGATTAACACTAGCATGACTTTCTCATTATTACATTCCTAGATTGAGTTTTACACATAAGAAAGAATATATAAACCATGCAACAAATAATGCTTCTATAACAGAATAGTATTGAAATTTAACAATTAAAAATAAAAAAATATAATTAATTAATTCGATTATTCTACAGCTGATTTACGATTTCTTTCTAATATAAACACAGCAAGTGAATTTGTTAATAAAACTTTCACAGCAAATAAATAAAACTCCAGAAAAATGTGCGAACGTAAAAGTCAAGTACGGCTTTGGTTCAGTTGGTTAAGGAGCGCTTGATTCTTAGCTTCAAATTTGACAGGGCACGAATTCGATTCCTGGTATTTGCATTTTCAAAAAATTATTTACAAATAATTAACTACAAGAATTATTTCCAAAACCACTGATGATGGGTGTTTGGTAATACTCAAAACAGCTGTATGGTCAGCCAAATTTCAATTAATTAAAATTAATTAAAAAAAAAAGAATTATTAATTGGTACAAATTAGGAGTCATTAATTAGTATTTAAACTTAAAAAAAATCAAGTTGATATCTTTTATACTTTTGTATTCATTTTTGGCTATAACTGCGTAACTTATATCACTTTTTCTAATAACTTCTTATTAATAGCTTATTGCCAGATTTATTTAATTGTTGTTTAATCACTGATGTAAGTATTAATGTTATAACAAATCGTTTTTAAAAATTTAATTATTATAGGAATAGTACAGGACTGTCCATAATGTGGTCCGCGACTTATTTCTAATCTACCAAAATTAGGCAAATTTTTCTTTATTATATTTTAGTAACATCACATTATTTAAGTTTTGTGGTATCCACAAATAAATGAATTAAAATTTTTTAATTAATTTATTATACTTCACTTTAATTTACTTAGTTGATAAAGACTTTAGTATATATATCTTTGTACAACTGGTTCAAAAACCTTGTAACCAGGGCCGTAAGTCTTTATATTAAAAATAAAATATTTTTTAATTGTAAAAGAATTGTTAAAGATAAATTAATGAAGAATTAATAAAACTAAATTTAATATTATCGCCTCGTTTTCATTTTTCTTCGAAAAAATTGTAAACGTATTTATTTATTTCTACGGCCCGTTAATCTATTCAGTGATTTGTATTGGCCCGTGATCTTATCTGATCTGGACAGTCCTGATATAGTATGTATAGTATGTGTTTTTTGTTGCTACTAGAAGAAAAACTTAAAACTTTTCAAATTGCTTATGAAGAAAAGTCATAGATCGTATGCGATGCTTTCTTTATTAATTAATTAAGTGCAGCTCACGAAATATGTATTTGCCGTATATTTGCTCACGAAAATTTGAAATAAAATTGAATTTATATGGATTTGGTCTGTTTTCTATTAGTTGTTTTGTATTGGCAAAGAAGCAAGTAAAATTCGCACACATAAATTAATTGGATTTATTCAATTGACCACAATTTCAATTTCAATTTCAATGTTAAATTCGAGGTGCTTTGGACTGCACCTCGGGCTGATGTGCATGTACCGACCTCAAGTTATTTTGTTGAATTTATTCAATTCAATTGGATTCCCACAACACAAAACAACACATTGCAATTTTATTGAATATACAAATTATATAAAATATTCCATAAATCGAATATTGTGTTTTTAAGTAATTAATATTCAAATTTACTCTCAATATATTTTTAAATAATTAAATTAAATTTCAGAATTTTGAACAACAAACAAAAATATTTTTCTATGCAAAATTTCCAAACAGATGAAATTTTTTTTTTTTTTGATTTGGAAATAATTAAAAAATATTTAAAAAATATTTTAAAAATATTTAAAAAATATTTTAAAAATATTTTAAAAATATTTAAAAAATATTTTAAAAATATTTTAAAAATATTTCAAAAATATTTAAAAATAACAAAGCGCACCTTTTTACAATATTTGTAAGTGTTTTTGTCGTAGTAAAAATATTTGCTTAATATATAGAAATAAATCTCTTATCGTTATTATCGGCGCGAAATATGGCACGTGTTGGTTACGTTATAGCATTTGACCTCATGGCCACGTCCCGACTACGTACTGAACAAGGCGGCAAGGCAAACTTAACTGAGGCGGCAACAATTCCGAAATTGTTTTGAAACTATCGTTTACTGTGTTAAACATCTGCTGTCCGTCCGCTATCATCTGTTGGGCTGATGCAGTACCATATATATTGAAAGAGCTAAACTTACACTCAATACAATGTATACAGGGTGTTTGATGCAATATGTGGGTTGCTTACACTGTAGTAAGCACATACACTGCACTTAAATTAAATTCACCTTCCAACAGTCGAAAAACACCCCGTATATATGCCTTCATCTTCCACTCACTTGAAAAGCGTCAATTGCGCCGGTGCAATATTTGAGCAAATAGATTTACTGTGTCTGTTCCAACAGATTTTATGAATGAATGCCGACTTTCAGTGGCAGTGCTTACAAGTTGTTTTGAGTCAGTTTCTACAATTTTTGAAATTCTTGAAATTTTAGAAATTTCCGAAATTATTTTGCCACAAATTTTTTGTACTGCTTCGGTTATTGTTTCAACTTCTAGCGCAACTACTGCAGACGACATATAATCTAAGCGAACAAATTGAAATGTCAAATGGAGAATGTGTTTGATATATTTTTTAGTTATCTTCCGGCTTAAAATTTTATTTCCTCCGAGGCCACAGAAAGATAGAACAGCTCTGCTCTAGTTATGCTTTAATTTAGCAACTTTTCACAGCATCCCAAACTATGGCATACAAAAATTATTTAAAAGCATCAAGAAATTTACTTTATGCATCTTTACTTTCACATATGGTTTTAAGAATATATAAAATGTATATATGCTATATTTTATCACATAACAGATTTAGAGAGGTGAGCACTTTTAGATAGGCTGAACTCATGATGTCAAAACCGATGGTCAGTCAAGCGATAAAAGCGCTTAGCTATCCGCGCTTAGGTTCTCTAAGTTGACTGATTTCATTGATTACTGGACATGAAAACTTCAAGTACACTCTTAAAAACAAACAGCTCTTGCTGAGAAAGACACTTGCAGGCTCTGTCAAGAAAATAAGCGGTGCATATATTGTGCCAATATCCCGCCCTGGCAAGCAGGAGTATGAATGTCTTGGGACACCATTGGGCTGATGATGACTGTGTTGCCAACCTCAAGCTAAATGAGCTGCTTGCAATAACAAGAGATATAGTTATGTGAACTAAAGCCACTTGGCCACTTTGGCAGCCTCCGAGAATCGAAGGACGAAAAAGCACCTAAATCATTTCGTGGTCTATTTCGGCTTATTCTTAACTTCAGTTCGGTCACTTGATGGACGATGCGATGTCTCAATGAACTGCTTACAATAATAAGAGATGTAGTTATGTGAACTAAAGCCACTTACTAACTTTAGGAGTCTCCGAGATCCGAGGGACGAAAAAGCACCTATGGTAAATTATTTCGTGGTCTACTTCAGCTAATCCTTCACTTTAGTAGGGCCACTTGATGGACGGTGCGACGTCCCAATGTCCCATAATATATATATATATATATATATATATGCAAAACTATTTTTTTGCAGTTACACTAGCTTAATTTTACAGAACATCTGATTTAATTCTGTCCAGAACTGCAAATATTCAATTGAACGACTTAAAATTTTATTTCCTACGAGGACACAGAAAGAGTTACCAGTTTTAAGTAATGAGACTTTATCTCTGTAATAGGAGTGCACTGCAGCTTAAAATTTGCTAATGAGAAAAATATGTTAAGTAACGTGTAAAATTTTTCATTCCTTCAAAAAATCGAGTACAAGATTTTGAAGCTACCACTTTTGAGCACTTGTTCTTGAGCTAGTGCAAAACGGAGGCTTCGTTTACCAGCTCCCTACTGCTTCGCTGATTTCTTATTATTCCCGGCTTCGTTTTAATTCCATTTTAGAACGACAGTAAACAGCTTAGGGTTTCCTCTGAGCCATTTTGTGTTATTCCTCTTCAATTGCGATATTTGTCTGTACTCCCATGTAGCATGGTATTTGCTGTAGCTGGCTCATGTAGACGTGTATATTAGTTTAGCAGATCTAAAAACGCAGATCTAAAATCGCACATCTACAGCTTAAAATGCTTGAATTATCTCCCAGAGTTCTACGCTAAAGTTGAACTATTACTATAACTATTAAATACTATACTATTTTACTTACTACTCTTTGAGCTGATAAAAGTCTATTTTGATATTTAAAGATTATGTTAGAATTTTTATCAAGAGTTTATATAGATGCCACAACATACTTAACAGATTATAAGTTTTTTGATTTTTGGAAAATCCAAGTTCAAGTTACTTTTATATAAAATGGAATAGGTGTAAAGTATAGTATTTCAATTTTGATTTTAATTGCATCAACTTCCATTATGTATTTGAATCTCTGAGTAATACCTGCATATTTTAGACTGTTCGCAACTACAAGGACTAATCATCTACTAAGTCGTAAATGTAATACTCGTATGCTACCATACTATATTTTGGGAAAACTCTTTTCTAAAACTAATTCTATTTACGAGCAAATAAGTACGATGGTTTTTGGGATTTAAATTATTGAGTAAAAAGTTATTTTTATTAATTTCAATTTTTTGTTGTTGAAACTGACGCATCTTATGACGAAAAGAAACTATTTAAAAGTTAGAGGGTTCGAATAGAAGTGAAAAGACAACATTAAAAATTTTAGTTAATTTATTGAAATATGAGTGACTATACAACGCTATTGTGAGTACTGCCAAGTACTCATCATCAGTGATCTTAGGAAATATTTGGATTTTTAATTAGTTTGTAGTCTGTATATATATATGAACCAAACATTTTATATTATAATAAAATAATCAGGCCTATTCTGAATACTCCCAGCGAAAAAACTCCCTATTCCCACGCTGTTCCCGAACACACAGCTCCCTTATTCTGAATCGCTAGGGAGACAGCAGTTTCGTGAACAACAACAATTTCAAATTTGTTTTGTTAAATTTTGGCAACCATGCCACTTTTTAATGACGAAAAGTGAGAAAATGAGCAAAACAAAAAAAACAGTTGCGTATCATATGTTGATTTAAATGTTAAAATCGCATTATTTGTTTGCTGCACAAATTATTAGAAATAAATATAAATAATTTTATAAGTGATTAATGAAAAACTTTTATTTTAATGAGAAAAATAAACATATAAAAAGAATTGTGCAGTTGTTGGTGTTTATTTATATAAAAAATTTTTAAAAACTTTAAAAATGCATTCAATTGCATTACGAATATTAGCAGAGGATTTGGCTCAAGAACATGAGCAAGAAATTTTGAAACAGAGGATCAATCGGAGAAACTTGAGAGACGCTGTAAATCCACTTGAGCTGCCTAATTTCTTGTAAGTACAAATGTAAATTTAATTTGGTTTTAAAATAAACTTTTTTTCATTATAGATTTCAAAAATATTACAGAGTAAATAAACCAGTATTTATTTACCTGTTAGAGGAACTTACTGAGGGACTACAACCAGCAAAGAAGCAGTTTGCAGTTGCTCCAATTGTGAAATTGTGCGCTTGTTTGCGTTTCTTTGCTGAAGGAGCTTATCAGACATTAAATATCACATTAAAATATATTCGAAAAATTTATTATTATTGGTTACTTAAATGTTAAATTTAACTCTTTTCTAAATTTTTAACTAATTAAAAAAAACCTTACGTTATGATATCAATTCTTCAATGTCTTTATTTTCAAACATTCACTGCTTTTATATAAAATTTGAGTAAATGATAATTTACTTTTTTTATATAATTAGGATAGAAATGTCCTTTATGCTTCAATTAATGAACTAATAATAGTTTATACCTGTGCAGATCTTACAATAAAAAAAAAGCAATGTTTTACCTGCACAAAATTGCAGTTTATTTTAACTTATTCTAGGAATCCATTTATTTCAGAATTTGGTTTCCTTTCATTTTTCTATTGTTTTAAAAACAATAGTTAACACTTTAATTAGTGGAAAAAACCCGTGTGAATAAAATAAATAAATAAAAATTTAAATATTTCAAATTTGTTATACTTTTATTAAAATAATAATTTTAATAAAATATATTAAATGAAAATTTTGTTATATTAAATTTATTAAAATATATTCGGAAAACTAATCAAAAAATAAAACTTTGAAAATATTAAATTTATTGTAATAATTTTATTATAATAATAATTTTATTAAAATATATTCAAAAATCTGATCATTTTCAGTTACTTTTATATTAAATTAAACCATTTTTAATACTTTTTTAACTTGTCTCCCCAACAATTTGGTAGGGAGAGAATTTGTGCAAAATTAGGAAAAAACTCCCATTCGCATGCGATTCAGAATAGGGGAATTGGGAACAGGGAACATACCAAATTTATTCAGAATAGGGGAATTGGGAACAGGGAACAAACTCCCATTCCCTTGCGATTCAGAATAGGCCTGAATAATAAAAATATTAAATATATTAAAATACAAAACAACACTTTTATCTTTCTTTTACAGATGAAAGGCTTAAAATTAATACTCATTGTGATTGATTGTGATATTCGATTCATGGAGGAAATGATATCAATTGATAAATTGATAAAGGTTATCGGCTATTTATAATGATAGATCCACAAAATCGCCAACGACTCTCACGACAAAAACGTGGTATCAGCTCTATGAATGGTGTTATGGAATGTTGTCGAGAACTTTTATATGTATCATTTGATGAGATCGGTTGGGATTGGATTGTATAATACAACTACGTGGCTATGATGCGTACTTCTTTAGTGGATCTTGCAGCGCAGTTGCGAGCGTTGCACAAGTCCCTTCACATCATAATACATTTAAACACGTAAGGATATTCATGTACGAATATTCACTTGAAAACAGTTTTTCTAATAGGTCTATTGTATCAATTTGTTTTTACAGCAAGAGCTACCAATGAGGCGTAGTCAAGGTCAAAAGCGGTAAGAACTAATTTTCTGTTGCACAGCGAAACAGTACTCATCACTACAGCTGGTGTTTGTGTATAGTAATAATGCCATCACCATTGGCTTG